ATAGACTGTTCCTCTTTAAGTACACTGCTTAAAGAACCTTATCAAATTGGGGAATAAACTATTAACTTTTAATGTAAATAACTTTTTTTTCATCTCTAAATATAAAATATTTATCCACTATTGATAAATATTTAATATCTTTCTTCAATCACTTAAAATTCCGCTTAGGAAAATAAACTATTTTATGACGATACCCTCATAACTTATAGTGTGAATATAGGTTTAAATACTTGACAGCAACAATATTTTTTGACACAACTTAAGGCTTAAGTTCCTTGATGATATGAAAGGAATAAATGAAGTATACCCGTAATCATAAGTTTTTATAAATATATATTTCAATTCTTAATCCATGCCCATTTTTCATTAATAATACAAATTCAAACGTTTTTGCTGAAATTGCTTAAATTCGCTTATTGCTTATACATTTTGCACATTTTAGATTGCTTCATTCACTTTTTCATATAATTTTGCAAATCGCATTTTTGACATATTTGCTAAATGTACTTGTTGTTGTTATTCTTAAGTCGTCTGTCTTTATTAAGGTTCATTAATCAACTACTTTATTTAAACGTTATTCATTAGTCTGAAACACTCACAGCACCGATAGCAATTCGCTTAATTTATACCTAAGCTCGTTTGAGTTATTATGCCTGAATTTACATGAACTTGATTATGTAGTGGGAGTTCGCAGCATGGCACAATTGTACGGTTTAATTAAGTTCTGAAATTAATATCGTAATTAATATATCTTAATAGTTAGTAACGTAACCGAATATGGCTATTAACCGATTATGCTTTTTACCACAAACATACACATCTATACGGCACTTTGCAGGTAATTTCGCAGGCGAGCATTCATTTGAATGCAAACCCAATGGAAGGAGGAAATTAAATTCCATTTGGAATTGCAATAAATTGCTTGCTTTTATTTATGATATGAAATTCTATACTAGATTAGTTTAATTAACTTTAAATTAAATAATAGGCCGAAGAATTAATGCACTTAATTGTTGTGCAATTAAAAGAGGTAAATCAAAGCTGTAGTGACATTTCAGCAATTAATGCAGGAGGACAGCCATTTAAGTGACAGTCAGATAATTTATATATTTCTGTTATCAGATTGTTTATTAGGCAGGAAATTGTCACCAACAAACGCCATTTACTTCCATTGTGTGAAAGCAACTATTTCCTCTTATTAATTATTAATAGTAATTAATTTCATACAGAATGCTATTTTAAATACAGAAATCACACCAATACTTTTGAAATAAAATAAATGAATTTTTATTTATTTTTATATTTCGGAACTTATAACAATGATATTTTTGTATTCAGTAGATACTGCAAAGTTTAAGAATAATAAATTGTATGATTATTTTAATATGCATCTCTGGTTTAATGTTCAATGATTTGTAATAAGTGCATGATAGATTATATAGGCTATAAAATTATAAAATAGGTATATACCTACTTCTTGTGCTTATTTTCTAATAAGTGAAGTCTCAGTGGACAAACTACAAGGTATGCATCCATACCTGTTCAATTTGATTCACGGTCCATTTTTAAATCAACCGTAGTCGACCGATTAAGAACCACTGACTTAAAATCAATCATTCAGAATTAAATTATAAATTACAAAGTTTTATATTACTAAACTCATATAAAATTATTCCTTTTTATATAAGCTCTTTATTTCATATAAACACTTCCTTTTTCTATAAACTTATGTTCTTATATATAAAATCATCGAAGATAAAGTTTATCCATTAACGTTTTTTGCGATCTCTTTTAAAATAATCTCTATACATGCATACTTCCATATGCATTATATAGACTCTCCTTCTTTGAATAAGTTGCTTAAATGACCTTAGCAAAGTAGGGAATAATCTATTAACATTTATTATAAGCAGGATGATGATACACTCTTTATTAGGTATATTAGATGATTTCTGCGCCTAAAAAGCAAAAAAAGTCGTTTGTAAGATAATATTTGTAATATTTCCAGTATTTACCAAGGTACATTTTATCAAAAAAAATAGTCTGTTTTCAGAGAGACAGACGTTTATCTAAAATACCACCAATATCTCAAATTAAATTTTTTAAACTATGAAATTCGTATGCAGTATAGTCCTTTAATCGTCTTTGAATACTCTGTCCAAAATATGTTCAAATTAAAATAGGTTTAATTAATTTTATAAGTTTAATTTTTTTGAAAAACTGTCTTCCACTAATCGTCTCTGAAGCAAAGCTGTCTAACATATTTATTATTCAACAAATATATTTATTCTCTTCAGAAGCTAAATACGAAAAAATAGTGCATGATTAAAGGAAAATCACATGAAAAATTTATATAATATATTGATCTTCTCTCCTATATGACTTCCGCTATGTCTTAAGCCAAGAATTCATATTCAAATCATATATGCACCATAGTAAAATATATAGAAGTCCCTTGAAATGAAATTATAGTTGGTTACATACATTTAATATCGAAGTCCTTTGAAAATTTATTATTATCATTCTTATGTGATTAATTATTATCACTATAGTTCATGACAGTGTTCGACAAAATCAGAGAGATATGAATGTCATCAACTGGAAGCTAAGAGCCAAAAATAGAGAATAATGGGAGAATTTTGTAAAACAAGCTTAGGTCCTACATGGACTGTAGTATAGCTATGGATGATTCTGATGATGACTATAGTTCATAAAATAAATTTTACAGTGTTGCAAAAGGTTCATTTATATTATACAAGTAATATATAAAGCTCTGGTATAATTTTTATTTATTAATTAATTCTATATTAACTTTTTCATCAAATCCATTCTAAAGAAATCTATTTTTTTCGGGACTTGTTCATTTCAATGTACTATTTACTTATAACTAAAATAGATATAACCAAACTTCTATACGTTTTAAATATATGGAAATATAATTAATATATATATTAATGTATACTGAAAATAAGAGTATTTCTTTATACTTAATTACTATTGATCTTGTCTTTGCATAGACTAAATATACTACTCCAAAATTTTTATAATTATTTCAAACGTTCTTAATATATAATCCGTCTTGCTTCAAATATAATCCTTTTTGTTAGAGAATAACACTGTTAAAAATATAGATAATAAATATTAAAATATATTGTGATGCATACATAATAATGTAAATAATGTATTATTATATTGCATAAAAATCTCAAATTTTTTGATAGTTGCAATAACACACAAGTATTTATATCATTAATGAAATACCTTACATTTATATTACTCTTATTCACATTTAAACTTTTATTCTCATCAGACAACTTTTTTCATATTTCAATCTTTTCAAGTATAAAATAACATCAATAAATTTTCTTATATATTTTGCTATTAATTTTTTCCTTTTTAATTATTTATTAACTTTATTATAATATCAAAAAATATTTACAATGAATGCCATTTTCGCCTAAAATATATATTTATACATATCTATATATATAATGAGTGATATTCATATAAATATACGAGTTATAAAAGTGTTCTGAAATGCGTTTGATTTACAGCATTGCCAGTCTGTTTTATTTTTTAATAAAGATAATTAATCGCATTGATTGCTTATTATAAACATTTTTCAGGTGGTTCTGTTAGGCCCACAAAAGGATGGAAGGCTGAACATAAGGCTGCACGCACTTTAGGGATTATAATGGGTGTTTTTCTACTTTGCTGGTTGCCATTCTTTTTGTGGTAAGTATATATATAAAGAAATTAAAAAAGAAAGTTAAAACGTTCTAAAGGAAAAATTAAACAAAATAATACAATATAAAAAATATTGGAATATGAATAATTCTTATATACGTATATATATATATATATATTGTACACAAAAAAAAATAAGCTATAGGTTTAGTGAAGTTTAATGATAGTTCTGTGATATATAATTTAACATTAGCTTATGTCTTAAAATACCCTATATATGTACGCTAAGACTGAAAAAAACTGATATATATATTAAATAAATACCTTAATTTTTGTTTTGCAATACTTACGACTTTAAACAAAATAAAATATGATTTTTTATTAATTTAAGCTTAAATATTAAATATAATTAAAATAAATTTTTTTTATTACTTAATTCAATTTACTTTTTTATTTCATTAATAATAAAAATTTTTTATTATTCACCTCTATTCCAAAATAGTTTTTCTTCGCTATTTAATATTTTGAATTTAATTAAAACAAATGATTTTTATTACTTATTTAAATTCTTATTTTTGTTTCATATATAATAAAATTTGTTGTAATCCACCTCTGTTCAGAAATTCATAAATAAAATTTTGTTTTAATTCACGTCTATTCAAAAAACCCTTTTTTAAATAATGTTTTTCCTTCGTCATTTAAAGTATTGAATATAATTAAAATATATTCTTTTTATTATTTAATTTCATTTTTTTTTTTTTTGTAATTTTTATTTTTAAAATTTGTTTTCCTTCATCATAATTGATTTTTAAAATTGATATTATTATTATAAATATTTTTTATTCAATTATTATTATTATTAAATCAAGTATATTGTATTGAATTGTTTATCTTAACCCGCAGGTATGTTATAACTTCACTATGTGGTGCTGCCTGCCCTTGTCCAGATGTTGTTGTGGTGGTACTATTCTGGATCGGTTACTTCAATTCAACTCTGAATCCATTGATTTATGCGTATTTTAATCGGGATTTCCGAGAAGCTTTTCGCAATACACTGGAATGTGTTTTACCTTGCCTACAAAAGCGCAATCCTTACAATGCTTATTATGTGTAGCAGTTCAAATAAATGTAAATAAGACGGAATAAACCTATTCAAAATAATGCGCTTTCCCCACTTAAGATTATACATAGATTATAGAAATTGATTGCAATAAAAAAGTTATAAGTTTTTAATTGCATTGAATTTATATTTAAAAAAGGACGAGACGTATAATTTAAAGGATATTAAGAATGCACGTTATGCCGAACAGATAACCATCGTTTTTTTACTCCTTGGTAATTTGGTGTACGTTTAGAAGTGCTTAAGTTAACTACGATGTCGTCATTATATTATTTAATTAAGATTTGGTAATTTGGTAAGAAGGTTTTATGATTTTATTAGTATAAAGAAATTAGGTTTAATGTTTAGTATGTAATATGTTGAAATATGTAGTGTTAAGAGTAATATATGTGATAAAAATATTCATTTCCTAAGGTAAGTTTAGTAAATAATTACAATTAGTATAATGTTACTAAAAGATTTAGAGAAGAAGCAATAAAACTATCATAAGAATTTATATTTTTCTCTAATTTTGATTTATAGTTTAAAGAAAATTTTTTTAAGTAAAAATTATTTTTATCCTATGGCTAGTAATCCATTTCAAATAAAAATCAATTTCGAATAGAATGTAAATTTTGTAATTTTATGATTAATAAAATGAGTTACTTTTAATTATGAAGATACTAGCATATATTTAGGAAACTATTATAAACCAAAGTATTATATGTATGTGTGGAACTGTAGTCGCAGATAAGTAGTAATTTATAAGTAATAAAATTATTTCTAATTTTTCGATAAAAAATTTAACAAATTAAAGTGATTGTAAATATTCGCTTCTTTAGGAAATAAACTATATTAATTTCTACTGTTATTATCTTTAATGCCATCGTTAATTGTATTCGCATCTCTGACCTTTTCCACGACATAATGTATTATGTAATTTTTATTTGAATTGATCTCTTGTATTTTTTTGTGATAGAACTTAATGGGCTCTATAGAGCTTAAATGATAGAGCTTAAAGAATTATCCATTCAAGTGCAAAATTTATATACTAAAAAGAAAACAGCAAATTTGCAAAAACAATGATGTTGTCTTGTGTAGAATACAAGTATGTTTGTACATATAAAGTTCATTTAAGTGAATATCGCTAAATAACAAAATATCTATTGCAAATAAATTATAATAAAATAAAGCTGTATGAAGTATGAAGTATATATAAACAAGAGATGTGTGTCACTTAATAACAAAAACATTTTCAATACCTAATTTTATTACTTTAGTAAATCATATTATGAATTTTTTTTTTTGAAAATTGTGTTAATTAATTAACTTAATTATTTCACTTAATTATTAATTAATTTGTTCATTAATAGAATTGAATCGAATAATATCCGTTTTTTTAACTGAAAACTTAACTTTGCTCGAGTGGTACAACGTCATTTTATATTCTATTCCTCCAAAATTTCCTATACCTCGGAAATATCATTTTTTGGTCCATGGGATGTTTCTAAAGGCTCATTCAAAAGTTCATTTGTAATTTTCCCCCTAATAACGTAAGCCAGCCTGATTATACATCCAACAACATATACAAAGGCAGAATTTTTGGTGTTTAAATTAAAAACTCAGATGGAAACATTTAATTGAAATATATCAATAAAATATATACAATACATGAAATATATTTAGTATAAAATAATCTTAAGGAAGACTACTAAGGAAAGTTTTTAAAAACTAATTTAAATTTCATATGAGTACAATTATTTGAAAAATATCATGTATATCAATTATAATTCTCATTTTGTTTACTTTGTATATTCTATAAATTTTGGAAAGTGAATTTAGAAAAGTTTGTTCACTTAATATAATACGATAGTCGCTCAATCGTTTGTGTTGCTACTTCTATTTCCATTGGAAAAGTACATATATTTGGAACTTTTGTTACAATTGGTTTAAAGCTTTTAACTTGTGCCACTAGATTAAAAAAATTTAATTCAGTCAATTATATTTAATGTAAAATATTCCAAAATATTTTAAAAGAAATTGGCAATATGTTGAAAACCATTTAATATAAAAAAATTAATTATATTTAATGTAAAATAGTCCGAAGTGTTTTGAGAAAGAATTTTTAAAACGAATTACAAATATATAGAAAATCAGTTAATAGAAAAAATAAATTATACTTATTCAAAAAGTATACATTAACATTTAATTAAAGCATATTAAAAATTATTGATATAGAATGGTTCAAAATATTTTTGGAGTGTTTCGGGATTCAAAGTCCATTCACCTTTGTATACGCTACTTAGTACATCACATTAACTTAAACCACTTCATGAATTTTTTTGATTCTGATTAAGTGAAGCACATTTAATGTTTAAATTAACAATAATTATTGACACGATTTTTAAAAAAATTGATTAAATTATTATATATTTTCCTTAACATATTAGCTTTCACTATTTTCCACAGTTGTTGATGTTAATAAAAGACATCCTTTAAATTTAAAGTACTTCCGGATACTGCTTTATAAAATCAGCAAAAACTTAACTCAAATATAGTCAACGAATTATTAAATGCAATTACAATGCAAAATATTCAACAAATTTTATTGTACAAATATTTAATATTGTAGCTATATGTATAAATAATTAATTAAATAAATGAATATATATTAAAACAGACACATAACATGCCATCAGGATATTTATTAAAGGCTTCATAAGCTTTTAATTAAAGTTAAATATTGTGGTCAACACTTAGTCATAGCAAGACAAACAAAAAATTAAACTGCATAAACCGATTTGTGTAATGTAACTATTTGACACTATGTATTATTATATATACATACATATATATATTTATATATATTAGTTAATCATTTGTGTGTTTATATGTGTAAAATGTAAGATAATATAATAAATATATATACTATTATCAACTGTAATTAAATACTATCATGCGTAGACCACAGACAACTTCAGTAGGTCAAACGGAACAAGTTGCGACAATTAAAATTAACAGAAATTTAAGTAAATTTAATTAAATGAAATGATTAACAAATTAAAAAAAAACTGCTAAAATCTAGATGTAAGTCAAAAAATGAAGATAATATTACTGTTAAAAAATAAAACAAATAGGAAGAAAACTATTATAAATTGCATTAAAATTTTATTAAAAATTAAGCAAAATTTTTTTTTTAATGCAGAAGGACAATCCTCAAAAGAGAAAGGACATGTTATGTTAATTAGTTTGAGGGCAACATTAATTATTTTTAGGTTTTAAATAATTTGTATTTAATTTTTTCAAAAAAATAAATATTTATTAACTATTTTGGTATTTTTGTGATATTTATATTGTGTGTATGTCTGCTAATTAATTTACAAGCATAAAATTGTATATATGATAAATTAAAATTATGATAAAAATTATAAATTAAATTTTAAAAAGAGAAGTTCTTTCTTAAAACAAATAAATATGAAAGTTTAAAAGAAATGAGTGAGAATTTTTTTTTTTATTTTTAACAAAATATTTGTTGTTAATGGTTCTATAGTAATCGCTGCAAACGCAACAAGTTCGCTTCTATTCATCCTAACATCATGGAAATTTGACAGCATATCCCTTCAGTGATCAAGGACGTATTCAATGGAAATCAAGATAATCTAAAAATAATACAATGGATTTTATAACTAAAGATGTATTAAATAGAGTTCAAGTGAATATAGAATAGATGATGTGAAGATAGTAAAAGCAACACGAGTCTTTTACTATGTATTTTTGTTTATGACCATTGACGTATTCAGTGAAGATCAAGTGAGTATATACCTATTGAATAGATAATTGAAAGATAATAAAAACAACACAACTCTTATGTACTTCTGTAATAGTAACTAGAAATGTTGATAATGAAATATTAGAAAATTATATGCGCCTTTGGACTATTAAAAACATACACACAAAGAACCTTCAAAGTAGGGATGTTTATTAACAAAAATTTCTTTTTTATATGAATTTTTTATTTTCCTATTATTCATATATATGTATTTACTTATATATAATCTATACTTTAAATCGAAAGTTGTTATAAGAATATGTAACGATAGCATTCTATGAATGATTTGTATCTTTTACTCGCCTTCCACTGTTCTTTATCAAATTGTGGCCGAAGTACTGTGGCCCCCAGACCCTTGCGAGATTCACATCATTTTACTTGTCTTGGTTTTTCAAGAAAATTACCTATTAAATCCTAATATTTTGATATGGCCAAGAACAAAAAGCATACTGGCCAAAAAGCATAATGGAGATGGAGTCTAAAAAACAATCGATATTATTTGGACTCAAAGTCTAATATTGTAAGTTAACCGACTTAAGCGGGATTGAGTCTTAACACTAAAAAAAAGGTCTAGTCGAATAATAAACAATGAATTTTGAAAAATTACTATACATTATAAAGCTTTATTATATTAATGTGCCGTCAAAAGAGTAAAAATTATTTACTTTCATAAACGGCTCTAAAAAGTCGGTAGATATTATAAAATATTGTATTCACTACAGAAATATATAATCCACTAACTTCAGTGAAATCATATAAGCGGACTTAAAAAAATTAAATATTTTGACACTTATATTTGTTACACTTTGTCTTCGAATTATATCTACCGATTCTTTGAATTCCATCCCCTTTTACCCGGGTAACTTAAAATATTTGAGCTTATGTCAACTGATTCTTAATCCCCAAACTATATCGACTGATTCCTGAATTTAAATTCCATTGTCAGTTACCTTTAAATATTTGACCAATTTATTTTGACTGCTTATTTGAATTTATATCCCATTTAATCGGTGACCTTCAAATATTATACTTTGTCTTCAGATTATATATACTGGTTCTTTGGTTCTTTTACCCCCATTTAGCGGTTTAACTTAAAATATTACACTTTGATGCCAGAATATTTCGACTATTGAAATCGGCTAACTTATAATAATAGAGTCTGATACCAAATATGTACTATGGACTGATCCTTTAGATGAAGGATGAACCCATAAAATTGGTTACTTATAACCTCTGATATTATATTTGTGTTAATGGAGTTTGAATCCATATGTAATCAATACCGTTAAATAGTTTGGGTGACTATTATTGAAGCATTTCGTCTAGTGTTTTTAATGTTTTGTAATATTTAATAATATGATATACATGAAGTTTTACTGCAATATTTATATAAAAGTTAAGTATTTATTGAAACTATTTGTGTATAAGAAATACTTATACATTCTTACATATTTATAAATAATATATTAAATTTAAATGTATTAATGATATGTATTACTACGGTCACCAGACATGTATTTCTGGCATAGACTA